AATCTACTATATTTAATACTTTAGCACAAATGTGGGTTGTACAAACGCGGACTTAATGCCACAGGCCAGCCGAGCCTGGAGTCGATAATTAGGCCTAGGTTCTTAACAGACGGACAAAATGGAATTACTATGCCGTTAAAGGCAATGTGTGGCAGTTAACCTTGGTCTCACTTTCCAGTCATGCGTTGACTGCCTATTATGATAGCTTGTCTCTTTACTGGATTCAGAGTCAAACCAAATCTATTAGCGCAATCATTATTAGCCCCCAGGTCGTTACTTACCCTCAGGATGGCCCAGTCTATGTCGTCTATCAACCAACCTGAAGAGGATTAATCGACGCGGACAGACTGTTGACGCCCTGAAGATAAGACGACAACCAGTCTAGTGTGTCAGGCGTAATCATAAGATACACAATACAGGATAGAGAGAAGGATATCATGACTGACGGAGTTGAATCCATTTGAGAAGTCAACGAAAGCCAACTCTCTTACTTTGGATTTCTCAATTCCTACTCAGATGTCAGCAGTCACTTTTAGCAAAGCTGAAGTTGCGCTATGCCCGAATCTGAACCCCAATTGGAAAGAGATTAGTAGGTTATTTCGATAACTATGTTGCGATAGTTATTGGTTTACACAGGCCTCAAAAACTTTAGATAGGAAGGGGAGAATGGCGATAGGGCGAAGGTAAGATAGGGTGAGACCAATATTTAACCACGTTAAATCACTATGATTTCTGATGTTATAAATATATTATAAATTTACAACATCCCAATTCTAAAATTGATTACTGTAATAAATTCGTTATAAGAAGCCGCAGGTAAAGCCAGTTAAGTAAGATAATCATTTTTTATCAGAATGATAACATAATCTAAATAATAGCAATTGTGACAATGGCCTTGCTTCATTTTAATCTTTCAAATATAATAGACTATGAAAGAGTTCGGTTCTGTTCGGTCTCTTTCTTCAGACTTATTAAATTTTTATTTAGTCTTAAGACGCTACTTTATAGGATTTTTACTCTTAAATCATAAGGTCTAAGTCTTAAAATTACTGAGCGACTCTTCATGTGACTGTTTTATTTTTTAGATTTTTTTAAATTTGTTGATAAGATAAATTTAGTAACAATTGTAGGCTACAAGAGATAACCTGCAGTTTTTTTATTACTATTGAGTTCATCCGACATCAGTTAGACTAATATTATCTTTACACCCTGAATAATATTATGTTATTGGATATTAGAGAATACTAATTAGTCAATTTAATAGAAATAGATTGGCAGTTTGTGATGTTAGGAAGAGTCTACTTGCAATCTCATCTCGGAAGGGGGAAGCGACTGCCTTATTAAAAAAATGATTGTCCCCATCCTTGATAATATTCTCCCTGCCCTATATAACATTTTCAACTAGTCCTTATCCTACGGCGTCTTTCCATCTGCATGGTGAGCAGCTGAAATTATTCCTTTGCCAAAAAAATCGAAACATTCGTCCTTCTCTGACTATCGCCCTATATCTATCTTACCATTCCTTTCTAATGTTCTTGAACGCCTTGTTTAAAATCTGATCAACAAGTTTCTGTTAAAGAACAATCTCCTAAATACCTTTCAGTCTGGCTTCCGTGCAGGGTACACACAGTACAGTTTCAGTATTAGTCCACATCACAGATGATATTAGAGAAAAGATGGATAATAGAAACGTATTGTCCTTACTCGACTTCAGTAATGCATTAATTACCATTGATTTTCATAATCTCCTTGGTATTCTTCTCTCTCTTAACATATCTCCAGGAGCAATTGATTGGTTTCACAATTATATTTTTGGACGCCAGCACCGCATTCGACTTGAAGACTCCCTCTCTACAAAGTGTAATGCTTCTGTCGGTGTCCCACAGGGTAGCGTTCTATCTCCATTACTCTTCGCAATTTTAATCAATTATATTTCCAATCATTTACTTTTATCCTACCACCTGTATGCTCAAGATTTGCAGATATATACTCATGCACCTGTTAGTATGTTATTGACTGCGCTTAATATTATTAACTAGATCTAGAGCACATAAGTGCTTGGAGTAACGACTATGGACTCTAAATGAATCCTACAAAATCACAGGTATGCATCTTTGGGAGTCCCATAATGTCTGCTAAAATTAATTGGTGACATTTTCTTCCGGTTCAATTTAACAATACCATCATACGAATCAGCAGCTAAGTCAAAAACTTGGGAATTATAATCGATAGCACCTTATCAGGGGACCTCAGATTCAGGAGGTGAGCCGCAAAGTGCTCGCTGCAGCGGGATCTTTTGCACTTGCACAAACGCTCTATCTGCCTATTCTGGACTATGCCGACGTTAGCTATCTCGATTTCACCGAAGCACATCTTTATAAACTTGAGCGTCTCCAAAATTTTTGCATATGATTCATATTTGGACTTCGCAAATATGATCATGTTTCGTGCTCCCGAAGGAGCGCGTGCGCGTCTCGCCACCACCCTGACCTGCTTCTGCTAGGGTGACAGATGGCCTCAGCTACCACCCCCAGACCTGCGCTTATGGAGGACGGAGGTCATTCTGCTACCTCCGGCGCCTGAGTCTGCGGTAACTGGCCCTGGTAAGCAGACGGCGGAGTTCCACGAACTCTCGCACCGTAAATGTCTGTAAGACCCTGGTTTACAAATAAAGTATTATATTTAACTCTCTATAATCTAATTTAATACAAAATTACAAATAATCATAAAGTTGTGTTTGATTATACATGGACGTCCGGTTAAATTTATAATCGTTAGAAATTTCTTAACGAAAACGTTTTCATTCAATAGACATATATACAACAGACAAGCCTATTTTATTAACAGGGAAGGGCAGAGGTGTGTCAATGATGCCTACATTTTGCAGATTGTAACTTTTATTCCATTTAGGTAATATTGCAGTCACCTGAATACTTTAGAAATTAATCGAAAAATCGAGAGTTTAATAGGAAATGAAAAGAAAATTGTAGAAAGATATATTGCTTTTACATATGAGCTTGGGAAGTTTAAGCATTAAGTCGAGCATTTCAAGATCCTGTTACCCGAACTGTGAACTGAACTCGTAATGGCTGTTGCTAGAAATTCTAAACCCTCTATTTTCTAATTTCGTTGTAGACAATATTGGCGTTGTTCGACTTGATAACAAAACCGAGTCAAATTGATACGAGTAATAATGTAATTAAAATGGTTTATGGTAAGTTATGCTAATCGAAATCGAAATGCTAGTCGATTGACGGTATACTCGTATATGAAAATACATACGTTTTCAAAAAAAACTTAAAGCAATATTTTTTAGTTATATAAAATGCTAAAACACTTCAGTGCGATATTTAATGTTAATTATCAGTTCATTTTTACTTATCAGCATGTTAACCTGTTTTAATTATCAATATTTAAAGTACGAGTATTAAGATAAGAAGTACAAGCTAATTAGTTTAATGTCTTTGACAATAGGGTATTCTACTATGTTTGAAAAAGTACTTCAAAATGTTGATTATCTTGAAATAAACACGTTTGCTTGACATAAAATTAAATTAAATTTTAAACCTTTTTAATTCCCGCGAAAACGCTGGCAGCCATTTTGGTGACGTCATATTGGTAAAGACAACAGTCGTGTATGTACGACCGGCACTCATTCAACGTTAACAGCTATAAATATGTGGTGTTTTTTGGAAAAAACAATTAATTACAATACCTATCGTTGGTGTGTAGTGTCTAGTTGTACAAATACTAGCATTAAAAGTCCAGAAAAGTTGTTTAAATCGAAAAGATCGAAAGTTGATCGGAACTGAATTGAGACCGAACTTTTATTACGAGAATTAAAATACAGCTCTTACAATATGTTGGTAAATAATGTTTTAACGCTTATTAATAAACATACAGTAACATATTTAATCAAATAACCATATAGAATACTAAACATTAAACGATAACCTATACGGTCGTCTAGATAGTAATAAAAAAAAAACAACTAATCAGTTTTTTTTACATAAATAATTGGGCAAACTATCAAAGTTTTTCTGATGTTAGACTACTGTTAATAACAATAATCACAAAATTTTAATGTTTTTTTTTGTATTAAACGCGCATTTAGGTCAAGTGATAGTAAGTGGCCATGGCCACCTACATCTCAAGAGATACAAGTGCATTGGCACCCTTTAAGTGCCTTGCCCTTAATTCCAGGCCTTCGGTAACGTCTTCCACTTAGTGAAGGGCATTGAAAAATTACTTAATACCAGTTTTCTGTGAGGCAGTTTTATAATCCGGTCGAGCGGATCCATATTGGTCAAAGTTTGACTCTTCGATTATGATGAGGAAGTCTTTTACGATTTGCTCACTAAATGCCAAATTATACTTTCTCAGTACGGTCTTCTATAAGGTCATTGTTCTACTGATAAGCGGCATTTAACTGAGCTAATATTATTAATATTATTGAAAAATCTAGATTAATAACGAAAAACTCTCAGACTTGTGTGCTTAAGAAAACATTATTAAATATTTAAAACTATTATGCTGTAGGGTAAGCGAAACGCTACTCAGAGCTAAGCCACCAGGGCCATCCAGGTGTATATTTAATTTTGATATTATTAAATCTTTTTAGATTTATATAACTTTTATAAGAATTTTAAAGGTTAAAAATTATTTGCTTTTGACATTGTATTTTTTCTATACTTCGTCAGATACACAAAGCGTGTACAAAAACAAATAAAAAATTATTGTGCGTTTGACGTCGGCAGTATGGGAGTAAAAAATATGTCATATGTTTTAATTTTTTATACATGTACAATTGAATTGTAAAAAAAATAAAACAACGAATTTGGATCGTATACATATTACAATTCAATTTTGTGTACACAACCTCTTTTGATGACAAAATATAATTACAGTTTATCTTGAATTGATCTATAATTTACAGAATCACAATGACTGCAAAGAACATAGTGACAGGAACCGCAAAGAAACTCTTCTCTTACAGAAGTATGTCATTATGTAATAGGAGACAACAAAGTCTTTGGACTATAGACAAAATAGTGAAGTCCCCACATAAAGACATAGATATTCCAAGAAGAACTATTAACGACCATATATGGGAGAACTTGGAGAAGTGGGCTGACAAAACTGCTCTGGTAAGTTTTGTTTCTCAAGTGTGAATTTATTTCACATCTACTGACCGCGTTTGGCGCTGCGATTGGCACGCACTCAAATCTTAACCAATTGCCTTCTGGTGTATTCTTGTTTTAAGAAGTTAAGAAGAGCCGAGAGAGTTGGTGCTACTGATTGGAGAGTAATCTAATATCTAAAATAGGAGCATGGATCGATTAAAAAATCGTTGTGCGTCTAGTTTGAAGTCATTAACAGTCTTGCTTCTTTTTTTTTTAAATATAAATATTTCATTTTCTTTTCAGGTGTGCGGTATAACAAATCGTTCATATACCTATAACCAGCTCTATAAATACTCTAGAAATTTCGCTGCTAGATTACGAACGCACCTAAAAATTAAGGAAGGCGATGTAGTATGCATTATGATGTCTAATTCACCAGAATACGCGGTTGTTGCTCTTGGAGCTTTGGAGGCCGGAGCTGTGGTTACTACTGTTAACCCTATTTATACACCACGTAAGTAAGCAACATGGTACATGGACTCGATCGTCACGAGCAGTGACAGCGTAAGGCGTTACGATTGGCGAACCATTTTCTTAGCGTTTTTCCAATTTTCTCACTTACACAGGCGTCTTAATAATAAATATTATAGATAATCATCCGTGTGGTGACGGATTAAGAATACGTAATGTCACCAACCCTATTCATCCCCTGGGGTGTCGTAAAAGTCGACTAAAAGCAAAACTACGCAAGACAACAGCACTGCAAAGAGAAGGAAAACTTAAAACAAACCCAACCCGTCTGGTCAGCGTGGTATAGTAGGCCAAAACCTCCTTTCAGTGGAGAGGCCTATGTCATGCAGTGGACTAGTGGACAGCAGCAGTGGATATATAGGCTGTTGATGTGTGATGTGATGAAGATAATTAAGTCCTATTAAAATCAGGCTTTATAAGAACCAAACTTAGTATTTATATACTACCTAAACCTCAGGATACAAACATAAATAATAATAATAACTTCACACATCACACACACGACTGTCTGTTATAAATTAGAGCCTGTGTTAAGGCAACCTACAAATTACACAATTCTTTGTCCTAAGTGGGAAACGGAATTTGACTGCACGTATGGCGTAGTGGTTTAAGCGGTCGTCACACCGCTTCCTGCTACGCTGAGTGTTGGTGTCCGGGTCCGATCCCCACATGGGACGACACTTTATGTGATCCACAAATTGTTCTGAGTCTGGGTGTTCTTTGTGTCCGTTTCATGTATGTTTGTAAGGTCCTCCGCGGCACAGGATACATTCCTAATGCAGGAGTTGTCTTTATCTTGACTTGACCTCCGGTTAAAAAGTCAGAGTCATTGACCACTAGACTAAACCAAAAGGCCCGTCCCAATAGTAAATAATAATCAAAATTCTCAGAATTTAGAAATTAAATCAGCAATAGAATAAAAATTACATATTTTTTTTAAATTACATTATAAAGAACGCCGTGGCAGACGTCAGTTAATCATTAATCAATAGATTAAAAATATGTATAGAAAATGATAGAACTAATAGAATGATTAAAAATATTTTTGTTTATGTGTGTAATCGCATCTTTTTCAGATGAAGTTCAACGACAAATAGAACTCTCCGACCCTACACTTCTAATTGGGCAGACCGAAACGATTTCATGTCTTAAAGAAGCTCTATTTTTAGTCAAGAAAAATTTGCCAATAATAACTGTTAAAGGTTCAGAGAGCACTATACCATCAGGAACCATTTCCTTCGAAGAACTGGCTTTAGGTGATAATGTCGATCACAGCGTTTTGAAAGAAGTTAGTAGAAGCTTTGAAGATATAGCATTTCTACCTTATTCTAGTGGTACTACGGGCCTGCCTAAAGGGGTTGAGTTACCACATAAACAAATGGTAGTGAATTGTTTGCAGCAAGACGTGAATACTATTAGGCAATATGATGAAACTACAAGTAAGTGTTCGTAAATTTTACGTACCTACATATATTTTTATTTAAAAAATATTTGCTCTTTAAGCGCCCCCCCCCCCCCCCCTCAGAATTAAGGGGTGGAGGACTTCAACCTCCCTCGGTGATTTAAGCGGTCGCCTGGCCGCTTTCTACTGCGCTGACTGTCGTGGGTTCGATCCCCACATGGGACAACACTTTGTGTGATTCACAAATTGCTGTTCTGAGTCTGGGTGTTCTTTGTGTCCATTTCATGAATGTTTGTAAAATAGGATGTATTCCGAATGCGTTTTTAAAATGAAATAAAATGAATGAAAACCGCTCAACACTAGTTTTCTGTGAGGCAGTGGGTTTCAGCTAAAATAATAATGTCGAATTGAGAATTTTATATTTCTGTAGTCGGTGAAAACAAGAAAACTACAATATACCTATTTATTATATCAAAACAAATTACTTTCTATGTTTTCCTTTTAGTTCTATTTATTCAAGTTATTTTACTTTACCCACAAGTTAGTTAGCTAATGATAATCGATCATGACTGATTGTATTTGAAGAAAGAACTTGAAGCTAACTTAATGAATTACCAAAACTACTGCTCACTTCTAATAAATAAGGTGTAAAATGGTATATTGTGTGAAACATACGGAAGTAAGTATTTATTCATGAATTGGATCTGAATTCCAAATCAAGTCCAATTGACGATTTAACTCAATTGAATGTATAACGAAGTAACAAGAATATACTGCAACATGGAGGTCGATTTTGCTTTTTCATTATTATTTTTTTATTAGACAAAGAAAGAGTAATTTTAAAACTCTTTTCTAAAAAAACCTCTCTCTCTTAATTTAAGAGCCAAGCCCTTGTCGGTGGAGCAATCGCCACTCCTCTCTATTTCCTGCGATCTGTTTGACCTCCTGATAGGCCATGACTCCTAGTTTTTATTTCACTTGCTGTACTATGTTGATCTAGGCCGTCCTGGTTTTCGGTTGCCAGTATTACTCTGAAGAAGTTGTCATGTATTTCTGAAATAAAAAATAACAAAAGAAAATACAAAGGATCCTAATATTATTTGAATTTGATTCAGTAAATTGAAAATCGAATTGAAGATACTTAAGTAACCGCTTCTATTATCATTATCATACTACATGACTGTTTGACATTCTGTCTTTACTTTTTTAATTGGCCAAAAAATTTAAACGTAAAATCTGGTTAGTTCAGATGTAACATTACATTATACTGTTATAATAATCATTTACACAGAAACTTTAAAATTTTAGACAATTTATTTTTTGTTTATTTCAAATAGGGAGAGAAAGCATTTTTTTGATCAAATCATTTAGTGCCTGCTACTGATGTATATGATATTGAACCTTCGATTCACATAGAACGTGATAAGTCTCAATCCGAAGTACATAATATATAATATATTAATTAGATCTACACGAATCAGGGAAGTCGATTTACTGATGCAACTCTTAAGAATGGTAGTGTTGAAGTAATTGAACAGTTACTATACTGATGTAGGTGTAGGTGGTACATATACAGTCTATAATATGTTGTTTAGTTATGGGTTTGAAACAAAATGTACTTTAAGTCTATAATACAGGTGTAACACTTTCTCCATCATAAATTTAATTACTATAAACCTTGGACTTAATTTGTACTGTGTTTATTAATAAATCATTGTTATAATTTTTTCAGGCACTAATCAAGATGTGACATTGAATATTTTACCTTTGTACCACATTTACGGGCTAACGGTTATATTACTCCACAAACTCTCTATTGGTTCAAAGATAGTAACTGTACCCAAATTTCAACCAAACACATTCATTAATGTTTTGAAAGAGCATCCTATCAATATGCTGTATGCAGCTCCTCCTCTGAGTAAGTAAATATTCATAATATTCTTTAATTGATTACAAACTTCACTGTCGAAAAACAATCTGGGCGGTTTTTCAAACTGCGTTGACGCACTGACGGGTGAGATGATCGCAGATGGATGAGATGGGTTTACTAACTTTTAAACTATAGCTAAATAATTATATTTACGGGAATTAACGCGTGCAGGCTGAGTCAGCCTGTAACCACGGCCAGTGCAACCTGGTCAACCGCTAGGCAATTCAAAGGTATGTACTTAATACCTTGCATGATCGCGTTAACACGTGTAAACATGATTATATGAGACGGGTATTATATAATACGAGTACATCCGAAGTACAGTATCTCGCGTTGGGTCGAGCTTCGTTTATATCTAAACTTCGCTTGTTAGGAGACCGAGCCCGCTTGTCGCCTCACTGGCTAGCATTGATGACAGTTAAGAACACAATCCTAGGGTCATCCACTCATTTAACATGAGATCGTACGAGATCAGTCGGCATAAATATCACACACAAAATAATTACCTAAAATGATTGATTTTGTTTGTATTTTTTTAATAGTGGCGAAGTAAGAAAATAATAGTTTGTGGTTAGAATTACATAGTATTTTATTTTCAGTATTATTCCTTAGCTCACATCCTGGTGTAACAGAAGAGCATTTAGCGTCTGTCAAAGTAATTGCATCAGGAGCTGCTCCGCTACCAACAAGTGACGTCATTAAACTTCTTGAAAAGACAAAGGTATACAAAACAAAAAATAACTAATTATTTGAAGGTGTAAACAGTTGTAGGTTAATTTACCAATTAAGCTATTAAGGACATTCGACTTTTACGCATTTTATATACTTTTGTGTTCCCATAATACACAAATTATTTCCAACTGTTACGATTATATTTTTAACAAATGTCTTTCTGTTTATCGTTCTTTAGGGTTATAAAAAAACAACCAAAAATAAAGATGTATGGCCTAATAAGATATTTAAGAAGGGAAGGTCTAAGAAGGGAAACTTGACACAAACTCTATACCAACCCGTCTGGCCAGCTTGGTACAGTAGGCCAAAACCTCCTTTCTAAGGAGAGGCTTATGTCCAGCAGTGGACTGTTAAAGGCTGTTGATGAAAATATTTATTTCTATTGAAAAAATAAAAAACAGTAGATTGCAAAAACGTTCCGTGGTATAAAAAAATATATTTTTTAGTTTGAAGTGCGAGATTACCTCTCTCGCCGAGGAATTGATACAAACTGTTATTTAGATAAGAATACTGCCCGTTTTCCCAAGTGGACAAACTTAACTTTATCGTTCTAAAATATTGATATATCATAGTCAATTTTTCAATCTCAGAACATTATTTTGTTATCACAGGAAAATATCGTTCGATTACTTTCCACTAAGACTTTATTTCATGACAAGCTTTACGACTAAAGCTTTTTTTTTAAATATATATTATATTTTTTTAGTAGTAAAAAATATTGTATTATAATATAATATATCTCACACATCTCATACACGGTCGTCTGATCCCGAACTAGGCAGAGCCTGTACTACGCTTACCAGACTGCTGATAAACATACTTATATATTTTTAAATAGATACATATTATAGATAAATTACACCCAGACACAGAACAAATGACCGTGCTCATCACATAATGTTTGTCCTGGGTGGGAATCGAACACACGACCTCCGGTTTTGCAGTCACATAGCCACCGGTGGTATCCAAGGGGATTACCACACAGAAAAAAAAAGGCTCACCAACCACTAGACCAATAGGCCTGTCGATTCATTTAGTAGTGAATAAAATACGGATTCGGATTCTTTATATGTACTCGTATGTCTCATAAAAAAATCATCATCGTTGTTTACAAATAAATAGCTTTCCTTGAAGCAGGCAGCATTGTCACGTGGAATGAAAATGCTAACTCCCCGTGCAAAAAATAAACACGCCTTAACGACAAGTATCTATGAATTGTCCCTTATAATAATCACAAAAAATAAGCGAAAAATAAGTTGTAACTTTTTTAAAAGTTTGATTTTATTTCAACTTGGTACAAGTTGAAATCAAATCAAAATCAAAATCAAACTTTTAAGAAGACAGTAGTCCACGCATTTCTGAGAAAAAGTCTGAAAATACAGACAGGCACTCCAATATATAATGTTGTGTTTATGTAAAGGTGTATTTTTATTTCGGGTATCAATATTTCTTACCCAAAATAAAAAAATAAACCTTTAATAAACCTTTAGGTATCAATATTTAAAAGTGAGGGTCAGCTTGCTTTGGAGTCGATTTTTATGATTCTAAGTAAACAGCCAAAAAAAACAAAATTTTTGCTCGTCTTAAAAAACGTCTAAATTGTCTATGGGTTTTAAAATTTTTTTTTTACTATTCAACTAAATAGCACTTTTAGGTAATTTAATGCCCTTTAATTTGACGTAATTGACAAGCCTGTTTGATGATTTGCTGCTGAGTAATCGTCAATCAAAGAAAAAAGGTTTTTTTACTTTGATAATATTCAATAACTATGGATACTAACCTAATATTCAATAATGATAGTATAGGAAATTAAAGAAAGGTTTTGAAAACTGCAATTGTTTTTTTGGCAGTTTAGGTTTAGGATTACTACAGGACCAAACATTTAAAAAAATTCATGGCTAGATCTGAATACTGACACTTAGAACCGAAATTTTCATTTTTTTATTGTACTGTACTCATAGATTTTTTTATCCTTTAATTTTTTTGAGTAGTGTATTTCTTTGCATGTATTCAACAACAAGTTATACATTTTACTAGCAAAAGCCATTACTAAATAAATGTTTGTGTAAAGTAACATTAATTTACATAATCTTTGCTCTACTATTACTTTAGGAGAATTTTTGTATCACATTTATTCGACAAAATATTTATTTTTCAACTTAAAGCTAAATGAGCACTTTAATACAATAAAATTTTAAAATGTATTTTTAAACTTTTACCGTGTCACTTTTCAGCCCGCTGTTAACTTCGTAAATTTATATGGAATGACAGAATGTTCACCATTGGTCACTGCAATGTCACTTGGTTCTAATAATTATTCTACAGTAGGCCATGCTGTCTCAAATACTGAATTGAGGATTGCGGATTCTGAACTAAAGCCATTAGGAGTGAATGAAGTAAGTATAGTTTAAAATACTAACAATAAATTGTGTAAAATACTAATTTTTAAATACACTTTAAAAAATCTTATCCCAATACAAGTTATTTACATGAATTAAACATTATTATGCGCTGACTGACTGCACGGATGGCGTAGTGGGTTAAGCGGTCGCCACGCTGCGTCCTATTACGCCGAGTGTTGTGGGTTCAAACCCCACTTGGGACGACACTTTGTTGTGATCCACAAATTGTTGTTCTGAGTCTGGATGTTCTTTGTGTCCGTTTCATGTATGTTTGTTAAGTTCTCGCGACACAGGATATATTCGTAATAAAAAGAATTATTAAATATTTATTTATTAATTTTTTCCTTTTAAAAAGTTGGCTTACCTACAAAAACATTTTTTTTTTCATATCAAATATACTGATTGCACGTCAAATTATTCAGAGCTCAAAAGCGTAAAACTCACACATATAACAAAATAACTATTTTTGCAACGCGTCTGGAAAATGTGGTATAGTATGCCGATACCTATTTTTTAGGGGTTTCCCGTCAGAAACGAGCTGCTTCCAGAGAAGTACGTTAGGTTAGAACTGCGACCCTACCAGAAAACGAATCGCTATTAGAAACGAGCTCTAGATTAGTAGGTTAGGTAATAATAAAGTTCCACATTTCAAATTTTCTGAAATTGTTGTTAAAATAATAATAATTTGCGGTAACTATTTTGCTGTGCAATCAGTATTTTTGATTAGGATTGGAACTTTTTTGAACAAAAATTAAGATTTTTTGAGTTACAGTTACTTACTAGCCAATAATAAATTATAAAATATGTGATGTAATAATAAATTACGACATTTTCAAAGGTTGGTGAACTTCTCATTCGTGGTCCTCAAGTAATGAAAGGTTACAGAAACAATCCAGAAGCTACCAAGGATGCTATTATTAATGATGGTTGGTACAGATCTGGAGATCTAGGTAGTATTGATAAAGATGGAGTAGTTACAATCACTGATAGACTAAAAGAATTAATTAAGGTAAGTTGTTACTTGTGTTGTAAAAATTCGAAATACCCACCTGGTAAAAAAAAGGTCATCATAATCACATAAAGTGGTGATACACTAATGAACTGACTAACATCACACATTTTATCACAAGTGTGTAACTCAGATGTAACCCAAGACCCTAAACGGGAATAATTATCGTTAGATGTTGGTCGTCTTTTGAACATTCAGACTTAGTACTGCAAATACATATATTGCTTTGGTGGTGCAGTAGTAGCCTATGCGAGCGTTTTCTATGTAAAATGTGTAGGGGAAGGTGTTATACCTGTGGACATTTGCCGGATTTTGAATGAAAATATGGTTTAATGATTTATTTTTTATTTATTAGCCGTAAAGTATTACACATGTTGTTACAGGATTAGTTAACACTTAAAAATTAGCAGTCTTTAGTTTTGTACGAATTATGTTGATTAAAATAAACCAGTTTTTTTTAAATCACTAAATTTGTCCACAGGTACATCTTATGATTGTACCTCTGGACAGAAATACTTGTACCTATGGACGGCAATGTACCTATGGACAGATCACTTTTCCTTACATAATAATTCTATAAAAATCAGCAAAAATAAATAGAATATCTTTATAAATCAACTTTAACATTAAAGAATCAATTATACTTTTTGGTTTTGGCATCTAAATAATTTTTATATAGTTTTAAGGCAGAATCATCAGAGGCATCTGAATCACCATCATCTAAAATATAACACTGTTGACATAAGAAGTCTGATTCATCATCTGATTCAAAATTATCTAAATGTGATCTTGATACACATTTCCGGTGATATTTCAAATCGCATTGAGAACAATTGAGCAGTTTGTAAACATTTTCATGTCTTTTACATCCCATACACATGGCATAGGGTAACTGCTCATCTTGAAGAATTGTGACGCTTTTTTCTGCAGATTGAATTTTTATCTGACTAGGGCCAGCCTCTGCTACCAATTCAGAGGAATGTTTTGTCTTTTTCGGTAAGCCTTTTTTCTTATTTTTGTTCTTTTCAATTTTCCTTTTCTTTTCTGCCTTTCTAATTGCTTCGTTCTTTATTTCATTTTTTTCTGGCGTGTCCGTTAAAATCCTACTCTTTCCAGGTTTCCTTCCTTGTCGAGTTGCTTTTCGAGGTTCTGCTTTTAGAAATGGGCGTACAGACTCTGGCGTTATTTGCGGAATAAGCTGTTTTCTAGGAGTGCTTGATACTGCAGCTACTGATTTAGTTTCTGTATTTAGATTTGTTTGATGAACTTCCGAAGTTTCAGGAATATGCACAACTTCATCTACACTGCTATTAGGCTTCTGTATCTCCTGGCAGTCGCTAAGATTTTCATCTTGATTGCAGTTTAAGTTGGTTGCTAACTCTTCAGTGACAATCTGACTTTGAGTTAAATTATCAGAAACTGTGATCAATGGCTCCGGTCGATCAGTAACAAATGAGCATAGAAAATCTTGTTCACTGAATATATCTCTATTAAATGGACATATACCTGTTACTTCGAAACTTTTAACAATGTTTTTGGGTGTGAAAGCAAGGGGATATGCTTCACCGATGATTTCAGAAATATCGTAAATTGTAATTGGCTTTCCAGGGTGATTTAGCATCCACTTATCGGCTGCTTTGTTGTATTGTACCTTAAATGGTCCAAACACACAACGATCCAAGGGTTGTAAATTATCTGATGTGTGTGGAGGCAACGTGAGCAGAATTATACCATTTTCGACGGCTTTATCAATAATCTCAACTGATATATGCGTTTCATGGTTGTCCATTATTAAGAGAACCGGGCCATCTTTCGTAGGTTTGGCAAATTTTATGAAATGATCCAAATATTTTCTAAAGATCAATTCAGTTGACCATCCGGATTGGTTGGCTGCACCAACTGTACCTGGAGGGGCACCTTTTAACATGTTGTCTTTAAAGAAAACTCTAGGAAACACTATTAAAGGTGGAACAGAATTTCCAACTGCATTTATACAGGCAATCATGGTATTATTTACTCCTCTTTCTCCTGATGTAAATTTACCTAGCTGTTTAATTTTTTTTGGAGCCAGCACTTTTCTCGGGATATGAACTGTGGATATTCCGGTCTCATCTAGATTATAAATATTTTCAGGGGTGAATTGATGTTTTTCAATAACTTTTTGGAGGTTATCAAAGAATTTAGAAATATTAGCTCTATTAAAACTACTTGCTCGAGCCAGACTGGTTGCTTCGGGTTTCCGTAGGGACAAATGTGAATGACGTTGACGATAGTATCTTAGCCATCCTATCCCAGCCATTTTGTTTACGTGCCAGTTATTTGGGATGTTTTGTTTTTGCTTCACCACTGCAAACTGGTATGCCAGTTCTCTGACTTGTTTAGCATTCAAGCCCATATGAAGATAAGCTGCTTTTTCTAAATATTCTGCAAGCTGGTTTTCTTCTTCCTCATCAAATACTTTCTTCACGTCATTTCTCAAAATAATTACACTGTTCTCGCTCAGATCATTCTCCTTATTCATGTGAAGGTATTTAAATATCGTAGATTTTGGTATTTTATATTTTTCTGCAACTTTTCGCAATGAACATCCACTTCTCGCCTCTTTAATTGCCTCAGATAACGTCTCTGAACACAACCTACGTCTCGTTTTTCCGTCCTTACTACGAGGCACTGAAAAATGGAAAAAAATGAAATTCTAAATCGTAATATGTTGATTAAATAAGAAATTCGAACTAAAATTTGTACCTGTGGACAGTCCATAGGTACATACACTTCGATGTCCACAGGTACAAATCAGACAGTACAACCTAAAAATTTATTACCGACATGATAGGTACTAGTTTACACCGTTATACCGCTGTAAATGGATGTTTAACTACATGTACTACAGTATGACTAAAAATATTCATCTATATTCGGCGTATGTTCACAAAAAAATAGGACGAAAAAGAGATAAATACTTACTTTTTTGAGCGAAAACCCTTAACGGTCTGTCACCGGTCACACAACAAAAGATACAAAATGGCAGCAAGTCAATGTTGCCACCCATCAAAAATACTTTACGGATGCGTTCAATTCGTTTAAATGCTGTGTTTACTTTTTGAAATATCAGTGATGTCCACAGGTAAAACCGTTCATAGGTACAACACCTTCCCCTACGTATTTACAATGACGGATTACGAATACGGAATGTTACCACCCCAATTCATCCCGTGGGTGTCGTAAGAGCCAAGTAAGGGAGCTAAACTACACAGAACAATAGCACTGCAAAAAGAAGAAAAACTTGACACAAACCCTATACTAATATATCTGGCCAGGGTGAGGCTCTCCTTAGAAATAAGGTGTATGTCCAGGAGTGGACTATAAAAGGCTGTTGATGATGTGATTTACAAAAAAATGTAATTATTCTATCTGTCAAACTAGCTGTCATACAACAAGCTCTGCTTAATTTAAAACAAAGTGAAAGATGCTCGAAAATATTATTAAAAATATGCAGACTTAGTACGAGTACTGCAAACACATTACACCACCATCATCATCATCATATTACTGCGTACTTACAATACTGCAAAGGGTTTGCTTAAGATGCCAAACTTCCTCGAGAATGTAACCGTTAGAAATACGCATAGGGTGAGGGAGCCAGGGGAAGAGACTCTGCAGGCCTCGGATGGACTCAGGGCTTGACACTACAATAACTGGAAGAAGCCGCGGGTTGTAAATATACTATCCTATCATGAAAAATATTCTTATTGTTTAAATGTGTATATAAAAATTGATTTCAGGTCAAAGGCTACCAGGTTCCACCCGCAGAATTAGAACACATTTTAAAAGAACATCCAGATGTTTTAGATGTGGCCATAGTTGGAGTTCCTCACTCGAGAATAGGAGAGTATCCCAAAGCTTTTATAGTATTAAAAGAAGGACGTAAAGCAGATGTCGACGGAATTACATCCTTTGTAAATAAACAAGTAGCAGAATATAAGAGAGTAAAAGAAGTAATGTTCCTGGATGCTTTACCTAGAAATCCTTCTGGCAAAATTTTAAGAAGAATTCTTAAAGAGAAATATTGTTAAAATTGTTTTATGGTGTATGATAATATGTGTTTGCGGTGAGGACAAAACATTGTAAACTAATGATATTGGCTCAAACCAGTAAATGATGCTTAGCGATAATAAAGCCAGCGTATCAGTTACAACTACTATAATTTATAAACTTTATTCCATTTAGTCCCGGCTGCATTATTTGAGGTCGATACCTGAATGTCATCTATATATATATGTAAATATTAAGTTGGTTTGTGTATGTTTAAAAAACTGTTGTACCGATTGAGCTCAAATTGTGGCATGAAATAAATGTTTTTTTTCTATTTTTTGTGTCAGTTTGTTCGCCACCTTTCAGAAATGCAACCGCAATGTGCCTCATCAGAGCGTGGCAAAGTACAGCTAGTTTTCTATATATTTTTAAAATTCATAGAATTCATAAATCCTTGTTTTACTCTATTCATATATATCTATTGTTATATCATTGACCTTGATTACAAAAGCAAATCTTTAACAAATCCAAAATTTGTTATACCAGACAAATATATAATAATATCAAGGCCTCCTTAGTAAATTTATGTTTCATCCATTTAGTCTACTTGTTGAGCACGTTAACCCAAAAAACCATAGTGTAAAATAGCTATCTTGTTTTTCACCTCACCAAAGCAAGGTTGAAGTGGTATATTAGAATCGAATTGACTAAAAGCACGCAGTGTTCCATCAAAAGTGAGTCTATTGCTGGGAACCGATATACGAACAAGGAAGCTACTGAGAACCTCTACAAACAAAGGCTGTGATAATCATGAGACTACGCTGAGCCGGCACACAAGAGAAGCGGGTGAAAGCTGATGGTATACCTAGCAATATTTTTGAAATTATGTGAGTTATGGAGTTAACTAGAGCAAGAGAACAACTAGATCTAGGAAGTTTATGACAAGAAACGCTGTAGCGTTCCCTGTCATCAACTTCCTAACTTTGGTTTACAATTCCACATGATAGCAGATCTGCAAATAAGCAAATAGTTAATACTCCACGTACCTATTTCTCTTTTGTACTAAAAAGAATAAGCCTTTAAAGTTCAATAAGTAAGTAAATAGCTCGTTTTATTTACACCTTTCAATGTAGCAAAACTTCAATAAGACACGTAGGGGAATTTAAGGAGGGAGAGGAGAGGAGGAGAGGGGGGAGGGTTTTGGAGTCCCGATAACCTCACTCACTCAGTGAAAAGTAGCGAAATAATTGCTTAATACCGGTGTTCTGTGAGGCCGTGATATTACTCCGGTTGAGCCGGCATTTACGCCCAAACAGGGCTGTCCCACAAATAAAGTCTTCTTTAGTGGTCTTTTTTAGCAAAGAATGTTACTGTTGACTTTTAGAAATAATATCCAGAAATGAAGGAAAGTGAAATGTTAACATAAATTCTATCGAGACGATGATAACTAATTACAATTTAGTCCTCGCGAAGTTATTCTTACGAAGATAAAATACTGGAAGTACTAATTATAGAAAGTTTAGTTTATAGCTTTAACTGACTTTGATAATATTATAATTTAGCACAGGAGGTAGTTGGAACTATTTTCTCTTTAGTTTATGCTCGATATTTTATCTCGACTTTATGTTATAAACTTATCAGACTCAACTAGTTTGCATAAAACAATTATCTATAACTTTGTATTATTAATTTCTATCAAATTCTTATTTTAAAATTGGAATTATTTTTAAAAATTTCACTTATTTTTTTACGATTCCTAAGAATATTATTATATTGTCATTTGGCAATTTTCAAGAATGACTTTCAAATCTATACTTTGTATATTGTTTTGATGATCGCGAGTACAATTGCTATCTAAAATAAAAAATGTTACATTATTCATCTCTTTATGTTATTCGCTTGTTTTAAGTTGAAATAAGTCAGCTGTTTTACATATTATTCTCTTTACCGAGGACAGACTACAGAAGTATACGGTTTTAATTTTCATTAATCCAAAGAAAGCCCATTATGTGGTAATAAGAACTTAGAACCGCCTATGTATTTCTCCTTTAAGTTTGAAAGTTACTGTTATAAAGGCTGTTATTTCCTATTCACATCAACTACAAAGTAATTCAATCAAATTTTCTGTAATAAACTAAAACTTTATACCATTCATGTATGAAAAAGTAGTTAGTTTATTTGTAATCATAAAAAGAGACGACCTGTTTTATAAAGGTATTTCTGCTATAATCCCGTAAAACAAAGTTTTCGAATCTGTACTTTATAATGCTTATATTCATTTCAAGTTCATAAAAAATCATAACTTACGATTTTAATGTTAAACCTCGTTACTGAGAATTTACGTATGTTCGCCGTTTTCCCGCTTATTACGAACATCAACCACGGTGTGTGGCAGGTCACGTGCGTTTATAACAACTGAACTTTTTCTACTGGCACACCACTTTTGAATTTCGAACGGGGTAGCAAACAAAGCAAAGTTGCTTTTTTTCTTTTTCCATTTATGAGCTAGATAATTCAAAAGATTCTCTTTATATTACAAAAGGTAAAAGAGTAAAATTTGTTCTGAAATATTATTGAAGGATAGAATTTATAAAGTATATGCAGGAATTTTCTCATCATGATTTCATAACTAAGTTTTAAAGAAAATTTCATACCTTAGGTGGTATGCCGTTATAGAATAACTTGTAATGTGTTAAGGGCCGGGAAAATTGGTGGAGAAATTAAAAAACCATTGCATTGCAAGCCATTGCAAGTCTTCAATATGAAACAAAAGGAAAACCATAAAATTAAAATTATAAAATAAATAACACACGTACGAGCACACACACACTGCGTTCTATTTCTAAACTTTAAAACCTGTCTGTCTATGTAACAGCACAACACTAACTCCCAAGTCACAGACATACGTAGTTGGGAAGATAAGGTTACTCTATTGGTAGGACCTTTACCTTAAACGTTCCACATTTTTAGCTCTAGTGAAATGTTTAAGGTTACTTACATCAATTTATTTTTTATTGTTATTTTACCAGCGTGGTATAGTAGGCCAAGACCTCCTTTCTAAGGAGAGGCCTATGTCCAGCAGTGGACTATTAAAGGCTGTTGATGTGATAATGTGATGATGATTGTTACTATACAGGGTTACTTCTTATTCTAGTTGTAATCATTTCTGATCGATTTCACTATGAAATACCATATGCAAAACCTAACCAACATTTGTAAAAAAATATTGTTTGAAAACTGTTTGATATTATAAACCATCTACGTCAGGCCCAGTCTGTTCTGTATGTTAACTTAACTACAATTTTGGTAACGCAAATTAAATAACAATTTATTAACTACACAAAGAAAAATGAAGGTTCAAAAAAAATTGTTTTAGGCAAAATTTAGGCATTTTTGCCTAAAACAGCAGCAGCAGCAGCCTAAAAGAGGGGCGGCAGAATGCTCTGCCGCCCCTCACTGCCCAGTGTGTGCGGCGGGCAATAAGCCCGCCAATCACCAGATGGGGCAGAGAGGCTGCAAGCCTCCCCGCAGTTCTCGGCAGACGTCAGGGGCTAGCCAGTCGACCCAGGCTGCCTCTGATATAGTACGTGCGTCGTCGTCGTCGCCCATGGAGGAGGTTGTAGAGACGATCCAGTAATGGATCAAGTCTCCAACCTCCTGGTCCAGACGAACCTGAACCACTGTGCCGCGGCGCAGGATCTCTTCCTGCAAACCATGGCACAGTGGTCGATAGGTGTTGCCGTAGTCGCGGAGCCCTATTCTGTCCCTCCCCGTCCAAACTGGATGGGTGACTGGGACGGCTCCGTGGCAGTCGTCGGTTCCACGACGGCTCATTCCCCGCCCTTGTCGCTAAGAGACAAGGGCACTGGATATGTTGCCGTCGAGTGGGGGGGGATCACCATATATGGTGTCTATTTCTCCCCCAACCGGAGTTTGAACGACTTCGAGGTTTTCCTAACCAGCTTGGAGACCTCGATACGGCGACTAGCGTCTGGGCACGTCCTTGTGCTGGGGGACTTCAACGCAAAGTCCATTGCGTGGGGTTCCCCCAGGACGGACGCCAGGGGCGAGGCCGTAGAGGAGTGGGCGGCCTCGGTGGGCCTCTGTCTTCTAAACAGAGGCTCCACCAACACGTGCGTGCGACAGCAGGGGGGGTCGATAGTGGACCTTTCGTTCGCTACCCCTGCCCTCGCCGCACGAGTAAGGAACTGGTGTGTCCTGGAAGAGGTTGAGACGCTCTCGGATCACCTGTATATCCGATTTGAGCTCTCCCGGACCCAGGACTCCAGTAGGGGTCACGTGGCGCGGCGTTTATCCCGCTTTCCGCGGTGGGCTGTTGCCAGGCTGAACCGGGACCTACTAGAGGAGGCAGCCATAATTCACTCGTGGCTGTCTCCTCAGGCTCCGACCGAGGAGGTCGACGTGGGGGCTGGCCGCTTTCGCGATGCGATTACGCATGTATGCGATGCGGCCATGCCCCGCGTTCGAGGTCGTCGGCCTCCAAGGAAGGAGGTCTACTGGTGGTCCCAGGAGCTGGCGGACCTCCGTGCGGCCTGTACACGTGCCCGGAGGTCCTACACGCGCAGTCGGCGGCGTCACCGTGGAGACGGTGAGGAGGACCGGCTTCATGAGGAGTACCGACGGGCGCGGAAAACTCTGAAGCTGGCCATTAGCCGCGCCAAAGAAGAAAAAAGACAGGAGATGCTGGAGGGTCTTAATCGTGACCCCTGGGGTCGCCCTTACCGCGCGGTGCGACAAAAGCTCCGCGCGTCGGGCCCCCCCCCTTACGGAGACTCTCCAGCCCAGCTTCCTGCGAGAAGTGGTTGAGGGCCTTTTCCCGCAACGAGCGGAACACACTCCCCCGGCGATGGCCTCCTTGGCCGGAGACGACGGGGAGCACGGGGAGGAAAATGTTCCGCCCGTCCGGGATTCGGAGGTAGGGGCGGCTGTTCTACGGATCCGTTCCAAGAACACCGCCCCTGGGCCAGACGGGGTACCGGCCCGAGTGCTGGCCCTGGCCCTCAACCACTTGGCAGACCGC